AGTGAGATCGAACCCCTTTTTATGTGTCAGTTGTCCAGCTGTGTTGCCAACTGTGTTTCCTCTTCTGTAAATCCTCTCATGGGTTTTGATACTGGTTAGGGCATGCACCTTGGCTTTGCTTCCCTTTTTCTAAAACTCAAGTTTATATGATTGTCCAGACTGTTCTTTATATTTACTCTTCTGAATGAATCTTAGGGTCATTACTTCAAACACCATCGACAGTCCCAATAGGAATCCCTTTGAATTCCTTTGCTTGAATTAAAAGGTCCATTGAAAGAGAAATGACATCTTTCATATATGTGTTCCTTTCCACAACCATTGTACTTCCTTCCAATTCTTAGTTTGTCTTTTTTTTTAATGTTTATATTTATATTTTTGAGAGAGTGAGTAGGGGAGGGGCAGAGAGAGGAAGAGAAAGAATCCCAAGCAGGCTCCGTGCTGTCAGCACGGAGCCCAACATGGGGCTCGATCGCACAACGTGTGAGATCATGACCTGAGCCAAAATCAAGAGTTGGATGCTTAGTGGACTGAGCCACCCAGGTGCCCCTCAGTTTGTCTTCTTATGTTCAGTAAAGATGATCATTTTCTTAACAAAGAAGTCATTTACTAGATTTATTCTTAGGCATTTCATAGTCATTATTGATATACTCAATGGTTCTTTATTTCAAAAATGTTTTTTTCATTGGTTACTGCCTGTGTCAGGGATAGGCTGTGGTTTTATATGCTAATTATGTAACTGGTCAGCTTGCTGAGTTCTTTTCTTCTACTAGTTGGTCAGTGGGTTCACATGGGTTTTCTATGAACACACTGATATCCGTTCTGTGGGTGATTTGGTCGTATGCACTTGTGGGTAGATTCTCAATGAACATTTCAGGGTTTTTTTTCATGGCAGTCGGTCTGCTTATGTTTTTACAGCTTAGCCAAATGTTGATAATTTATACTTTATCCCCAAAGGTGTGTTTGCTCTAAGTTTTCAAATTGTTTACAATGGTATACATAATAGTCACTTAAAATGCTTAAATGCCTCTGGATCTTTTGGGTTTTAATGTGACTTTGTGACTTCTTTCTTTTGTGCCAAAGGCTGATTTATGTCAGTGTTCTTTTAAACCAGAATTTGGGTCTTTCAGTTATCTTCACAGTTTTATTTGCATTTATTCTTCTGCTTTTATCTTCACAAATTCCTTTTGTCACTGAGTCAACAAATCTTTGCTGAGAATCTGCTCAGTCCCAGTGCTGGGCACTGGGGGAAGTCTCTAGGGGTGGGGGATGGGCAGATGCAGCCTCCCTACCAAGGAAACTGCAGTCCGTGGTGAGGGGCGGACAGTAAGCAAGGAAGGAGGAAGCAGAGGCACTGGAGCGGGAAAAGAAAGGTGGTGAGGTCATGGGTCCTTCACAAGACCCATTCAGTCGAATGGTAAGGACTACAGAAGAATTGCAGTGAATGGAGGAATTCAGGGGAGTGGCCAGATTCTGGAGAATTCTTTTCAGGACTGTGCTATAAAAGGGAAGGGAGAAATAGGGCACTGGTAAGGTCAAGGGAGAGTTTTGTTTTTCCTGAGGTGAGAGATGTGACAGCATGTTTGTGAACTGAAGGGAATGGCAGATAGTCAAAGGTAACTATGCAATGATCACCTCTCTTCCCTTCCATCAGCCCCATCCTTGGAGAAGCCTGAGAGCTGGCTTAGGAGAGAGGCATCAGTATTCAACCCAGGGTACCAGAGGGAAGACCAAGTATAGGGGCACAGGTGCAGGCTTGTGTTCGTATTTTTTCCAGCTTCTCCATCCAAAACCTTAGTTCATTTGTTGGCAAACTTCCTCCCCCCTCCCAATAAACAAAATATCTAAGGTCATACTGCACAGATTTGAGTCTGGGCTGTTCTTAAATTCTCAAAGATTAATGGAATGTTGTTTTTAATTTTATTTTTAATTTACACTGTTTATATATTTTTTGCTATTAATTTCTGATTGTATCTTTACCCTAAGAGAAGAATATGGGGGCTCCTGGGTGGCTCAGTCGGTTAAGCATCCAACTTCAGTTCAGGTCATGATCTCACGGCTTGTGAGTTCGAGCCCCACGTCGGACTCTGTGCTGACAGCTCAGAGCCTGGAGCCTCTTCAGGTTCTGTGTCTCCCTCTGCCCCTCCCCCACTTGCATGCACTCTCTCTTAAAAATAAGTAAACATTAGAAAAAAAATTTTTAAAAAGAGAGAAGAACATGTAATTGGTGCTTTCAGCTCTTTGGACTGTGTTGTAGTTCCCTGTATTTGAAATTAGCTTATATGCTCTGTTGCTTAGATCTGAAGAGTCTTCACTCCATTTTTTAATAGATCATATATTCATCAATCACTTGCGGCCTTTCTATGAATCTGTACACTCTGATCGTAAACGTTCATGTCCTATCTTGTTATACTGTTACACTGTTTTTCAATATGAACTATTTCTTTATTACATCTTAAAGATTTTTCCCTCTGAATATTTGTAGGAGAATCTTACTAAACCTGTCCCTCTATTTTGTCATTAGTGTTTTTCTGGTGTATCCTCACGTCTTCCCGTGTCATTCTGTTTCAGGAGTATCTGCTATAGACTGCATAATGCTGATGTTCTGGCAAACTCAGCTTAAGAGTCTCTGCCTTTTTTTTAAATTAATGTTTTTGAGTCTCTGCTTTTTTGATAAGTGAATCTAACCGACAGACATTTATTGTGATTGGTAATAATCTTATTTTGGCGGTGGTGTGTGTGTGTGTGTGTGTGTGTGTGTGTGTGTGTGTGTGTATGTATGCACGTGTGTGTGTTATTTACCATGCTATCTTGGATTAATCAGATTTTCATTCTTTAGTTTCTTTTCAGTAATTATCCCTGAATTTTTTTTTTCAAAAAAATTTTTTTTAACATTTACTTATTTTTGAGACAGAGAGAGACAGAGCATGAATGGGGGGAGGGGCAGAGAGAGAGGGAGACACAGAATCGGAAACAGGCTCCAGGCTCTGAGCTGTCAGCACAGAGCCCGACGCGGGGCTCGAACTCATGGACCGTGAGATCATGACCTGAGCCAAAGTCGGACGCTTAACCGACTGAGCCACCCAGGTGCCCCTAATTATCCCTAAATTTTAAAACACAATTTTCTACCCATATCTCAAGTTAGTTAGAATCTATTTTCCTCTGGACTCTGACATACCTTTTATTTTTCTTTTTTCCATTCCCTCAAAACTTTAAGTATGTTGCTCTGTTTTGTTCATCTAAAGTCCCCCATTGAGAAGTTGGTGTCATTCTCATTCTTTAAGTAATTTCTTCCCAGAGAAGCTTTTAGGATTGGTCTGTATCTTTGATGATCTAAAGTTTCACTCATGCTTGAATGGCCCCTTTTAATAAAAGAAAAGTCAAATTTTTCTTTAATGGGGAAATATTCTCTTCCTGTGGAGCTTTTTTTAAATCTCTTTTTCCTTTATTTGCCATCTGGTAGATTCATTTGGGTTAGTATTCTAGTCAATCATTTGTTCTTTAAAGAGTTGTATGATCTTGGTTTTGCATTGGTCATTTAGACTCTATTAGCCTGCCCCCAACATGGAAATCTTTGATTTTCTGATGAGCACCATCTGAGGTAGGTTATATTTATTCTCATAGGCATAATCCATTATAAAGAGGCCACCTGCTAGGGCAGTGTCATTGCAGTGGTGAGAAGGTACCCAGTGCTAAAAGGGGAAGGTAAAGCCAACAATTTTAAAGCCTTAATGAGACAGCAAAGTCAAACTTTTTTCTCAAGCCAGACAGAGTTGTGGAGAGTGTGAGAGGGCAGAGAGTTCATGTTCCAGAGTATGGTGTAGGCATTGAGGAAGCATCTTTGAGGAAAGTCATGTCTTGTTCCTTCCTATGGAGAAAGAAAAACAATAACCATAATTTCAGGATATTAGATAAACAGGTGAAGGCATTTGTAGACAAGAAACGGGTTGTGTTATAATCTCCAAGGCATTCTTGGATAATTCAACATATGAAGTGGTATTGGGTAAAATGAAAAGGTAGTCCTTTCGCCTCATTATAATTTCCCACAAAACAGAGGATTCTTTTTCATTGCATGATTTTAGTAAACTGTGATGAGAATAGAACAAATTTGTTGAGAGAAAGATGAATGGAGGTAAAAACTTATGGGGAAATTGACTATGTTGTTATGTTACAGTCTATTTCATCTGACTGAACTGAATTTAGTGAAATGTCATGAAAAATTATACGATGGGAGTTCTAGGCTTGTAGCTAAATATTTAGCTACTCTGTTTGCTCTGGAAGAATACGGGATTTTGTTTGCTAATTTGTTCCTCCACAGAGCCAGTAGCATTTGTTGTTCCAGGAGTGTTTTTACGGTGGCGTTACTTTGTCATTTCACTGTGTTGGATGATGAGAGAGGAGGTGCCATTGGGCTTACTTCCATTGGAGTAGCTGTACTGATGGACCCAATGTCAAAGCTGCTCCACAGCCTGAGCACTGGCACACGTGGCGCCAGAACTGTGGAACTCCCCAACAACCAGCATCCATCTCATGCCAGTATCGTACCTCTATTTTGGGCAGACATTGTGCAAAGCAGTACAGGAAGGGTCTAGGATATTCTCTTCATCCTTTTGGGAAACTCAGGTGCAAACTGGGAGAAGGAAGCAAGGCTTGGAAAAGCCCAAGCCTTTAGGCCTTGGAAATTGAGATGATTTAGCCAACTCTGACTCTCCTGTTGTGCACATACAACATTCCAGTCTTCCCAGGGTGAGTTTTATGACCTCTGTGTCACCATAGCCATAGGTTGTCTTCTTACACTTCCTGCACTGTTGTCTTCTTAATGAAGCTTGGTATTTAACCGTGAAGAACCTTGTGGAAGGAGGCAACTTTAGTAGTAAGGCAGTCTCTGAAAACTGTTTTCTAAAATATTATAGTAGTTAGCTCCCCAGGGGAGTTTTCCTCAGGATTCTTAATTTGATGGACAGTAAATGACCACCCACTGTCTGTGCTTCATGTTCCAACAGGTCCTTTGTCATCCAGCAAATCCCAAGCAGCAATCTGTTCATGGTGGTAGTGGACAGCAGCTGCCTGTGTGAGTCCGTGACCCCCATCACCATGGCCCCCATTGAAATCAGGTATATCCTTTTGTGTGTAGGTCCAGCTACTGCTGCTGAAGCCAGGGAGGGGGATCTACGGGAAGGAAACCTAGGGGAGAAATATTAGGGGGAAATGACAGCCATTCCACTGTTGGAAAGAGAGGAGTCATGAAGGGAGTGCAGTGCCAAGGTTTGACCTTCAAAATGCAGAGTAAGGGAAAGTGATGACATCTTAGCAATATGCCTTAACTTCAGTCAACATAACGAATCCCTTAAGTGTGAACGATTAAAGGCCCAGAAGATCAGAAGGCGTCCCGAGTCTTGTCATGGCTTCCATCCTGAGGTAAGTCTGAGAGACCTTCCTGTTCTCTTTTTCTACCAGGTTCTCCATGAGAATCTCACAATTGACAAATAACTCTAGTTAAGAAGTTTACTTGTGAAGAAACAATCCTTTCAGGCAAATCAAAGGAAGGCTAAGGGTACTTTACTTTCAGCCCCTCAGTGCCTTCTTATTTAGTCTGTGCTTAAGAGTCTTATTGTATCCGTATACATATTTCAAAGCCTCTTTATTCTCTTCCCTATTACGAACGTACCGTAGTTCTCTCTCGTCACGCTGTTACACGCAACGTGGCTCTGACCATCTTGGTTTACTTATTTCAAATTGCAGTTCAGATTATTTTCCCCTGCTTACTTTTAGACAGCCTTTTATTGATGAGAAATTCATGTAAAGCAGAAATGGCAATACTGATACCAGATTAAGAGTCACGGTTTCTGCGGGGGGATGATAACCACCACAGGGAGGCACAACTACAAAGGCCCTCCATTGACACCAGAAGTGACGATCACAAGAAAATCAAACTTAGCACCGAGAAAGGTGAACCTGAAAAAGGAATACCCCCCAAAGTGCCATAGGCAAAAAAAAACCCCTTTCTGGTCTAGCAAAAATAATAGAAATTTAAAAATTAACTCCACCCCATTTTGAGAAATGGAAAGCTAGCCTAGACCAATTATTATTATAGGGATACTGGGAAAATCTCTATTTTTAAAAATGCCACCAAAGCCAATGGACTGGCTTTAAGTCCACCTTTAAATAGCAAATAATTTTCATCTTTCCTAAACTCTCCAAGTCCTAGCAAATGATGTTAAAGTCAATATAGGACCAATAAGAACTTGGAATTGACTGAGAATGTTTGCTTCTATGTTCAAAGGAGAGTTCACTAGCAACATATTATACAGATATATGCTGGAAAGGTCTTTGGTAAAACTCAGTGATAAAATTCAAATAAAAAAATCTTTATATAAAATTCAAATAAAACTAATAGTCCCCAAACACTAAAGTCACTTCAGTTAAAACCAGGACTGTCTATGTAGACAACCAAAATCACTAAAGTAGAAATCTTCTGGGGTTAATGAGATAATTTTCTCCGGTAAATAGATGTAAGTATTCAAAAATTAGTATTTTTTTTCTCTAAGTTTCTAAACCTAATGAGATGAGGTCAGTACGACAGAATACAAATTCTTAGATATAACCAAGGTTCAATTCAAAGCAGAAAATACACATTAGATTTAAATGGTAAAATAATAGTCTCACAAGAAATGTTAGGAATTGGAGAAATCTTCCTATCCAAGACCAGACAGCTGTGAAAGAAAAACAGAATGTATCTAATTATATAAAAATTACAATTTTTTATGGAAAAAGAGAATTTACAGTTAATAGCCAATTTATACAACTTAGAAAATCATTTATAAGCCAAATCATTAAAGAAATTTTTAAAATTGAAAAGTCAAACAAGTACATATAAAAGGAAGCCAAGGACATGAAAGCTAAAAGTCACTGGGTGATCAGAACGGACAGGTGATGATGAAATATCCGGCTACAGCCATGAAAGGCAAGAATACCCCTCGCCCTGCACTCACACTCCTGGGCATCTTTACCATAGGCAGGGGCCCAGGCCTGGACCATGGACTGGTAGTGACCTGCACTCAGCACTGTTCATACCAACAGAGAACAGAGAAGATAATGAATGCCCATCGATAATAAAATAGAGCTAGAAAAATGGAGTTAGAAGAGTTGCCATCAACCCGTGGATAAAAAGCATGCTGCAGAAAGGATTACGTTATGTGATTTCATTTTTATAAAACGAAGCCCTCCTTTCCCCACATATAAATAAAGAAGGCCCACAAAACCACTTACAGCTGGTGCTGAAATGATCAGGCCTCTTGGATGTCAACCTTTACTTACATTCTGACAGGAAGACATTAGAAGGGCAACATTCGGCTGTTCTAATTCGATCACAACAGACAGCTCCACCACCAGCCCTTTGCCTCTTGAATGTTCTGTGTAATAATACGCACAGAGTAAGTTTGAACATTTAGGCACTGACAACTGAAATCAGAGATTCTTGTCACAAACTTGATGAAATTTAGACAAGTCCATTTCTTTGTGTTATCTACTTTCCAAAAGACTTGATTCCTACATTGGAGAGTGCGGGAAGAGGTCTGGGGACTCGATGTAGCTCAGAAAATTGAAGGCATCTTGGAATCCATCTCGCTCTAATTGACCCTGCCTTTCCCTATAGGAGAATGCAAGGGAGTGTGGGGGTGCACCGAGCCTGCAGGCCAAGATGGTCCTTGTCGTCTTCCCTCTGCTCTTGATGCTCTTTTCAAGGTGACACTGAGATGTTCTCTTGGCATGCTAAATTATGGATAAACTGTGAACCAAAATATGGTGCGACATAGGAGACATGAAATATAGTCCAACCATCAGCATCTCATGATTTTAAACTGTGCGTGATATAAACTCTTAAAGATCTGTTGACAAAAAAAAAGTTATCTTTTTACTTTGCCAGTCATGCAAATGTGAGTTTGCTACATGATAATCACCCTTCATCAGAAACGGGACTGCAAGTGGGCAGTGTCCCTTCTGCTTGAAACCCATTGAAACCAATTTAAAACTGTGTACTTTTTAAATAAAGTATATTAAAATCATAATCTTCTGAGTTTTGCTTTCTTGCTGAGAATATAGACAGAACCGCATGGAAAAGTCACCCATTCCAGATACCGGGAAAGGGCGGTTGTTGGCAGAGACTTTGCTCTGAAGCAGATTCTAGACAAATATTTAACAATTGTTTAGGTGCTTCACTCGCAGTTATAAAAATGTTTACAGAAGTAAACCAAACTATCATCTTCATGGGAAGCGTTTATTACAAAGAGCCCTGAATAATTTTTTTTTTGAACTAAACTTCAGTAGAAATCATAATTTGGATGGGAACACGAGCTCCCAAGATACTCGAGTGTTGAACTATGTGGGAAGAGGAATAAAGTCATAAATGCGAGGAATTCATTCTGAAAAGATTTGATGGAGGAAGAGAACAATGACTACAAATGACTCTCAAGCTTCTGCTTGAGCATTTGGCTTCTGGCTTTTTCCCCATAAACAAGGGATGAAATTAGATCTCAAATATTACAAGATGTGAAACTACCCAGACGTGTAAGGCATTCCTAAAACACTGGATCCTGAACCAAAGAAAACAGATTCCACCGGATCGTGGTTACCAAATAAAGTGGAATAATTTCCATGCCTCACTAGAATCGAGAATGCCTTATTTTATGAGACAGACATCTAAAAGTCATGGGGAGAATGCCACTTAAGCTTTAAAAAAAAAAAAAAGCCCACATTATTCTGTTGATATTGTAGAAAAACTGATGTGATTATCCTGCCTTCTCCTGAAATGATGCCAGTATTTATAGGAAAAATAATACTACGTTGCTCTATTTCCTGAAACTCTAATGCCTCCCATATTGTTGACAATGTAACAATACTATAACATGTTGACTGTCAAAATGTCAACAACTATGGGGCTATCTAGTATTACAAGCACCGTGGTCATTGATATTATTCACTTCTGTGCACTAAGTGTATGAATAAATTCATAGGTTGCCCTCACAAGTATCAAAATGCATTATATGTACACTAAACAACCATAGTGTATTTTTTATAAACAAGAACGTGACATGACCCACCATTCTCCTTTATATTTCTAAAGAACTGGCAACAGTAGATCGAATATATAATAATGCCCGTAGCTGAATACTAATGATACAAATTAGTGTCCAATAAACATTTATAATTTCACTCCCTGTGTATTCACTATTCACTATCTATAAATTCACTCCTTGTTCTCAGCAATGGTGTGGCATCATTTTTAGTGACATGAAGATGGCATAGTTGGGTCACACTCTTGGCTTATGGCATCATCAGGCATCACCTTCATGTGAATGAACCACCCACCTTGTGCCTCAGATTCTCAGTTCCCTCAGTGACTCCAGTCGACTGGCCACTCCATTTATCTATTTGTATATCTGTTTTCTCCAACATAACATGTCCAGAGCAGAAATCTCAATCCTCCTCCACCAACTTCTTTCCTTCTGACTGACTCAGCTTCTCAAACCAAACTCCTTAGAGACTCTCTTATCTGCTTGTTCCTTCTCAGCCCATCACTCAGAGGGTCTCATCTCAACAACAATAGGGTTATATAGTATTATGACCTTGGGAAAGTGACTTTCCTCCTCATGCCTTCCTTTCTTACAACTAGTTACTGAAATTATAGGCTGTGACATTCAGTATATGGCTGACCCTTGAACAACATGGGAGTTAGGGGCACCAACCCCTTTTTAACTCCCCCAAACCTTAACTACTAATAGCCTACTATTGACTGGGAGCCTTAATGATAACATAAACAGTTGATTGACACATATTTTGTATGTTATATGTATTATAAACTGCATTCTTATAATAAGCTAAAGAAAAAATGTTTTGGGGCACCTGGGTGGCTCAGTCGGTTAAGCATCCGACTTCAGCTCAGGTCATGATCTCGCGGTTTGTGAGTTCGAGCCCCACATCAGGCTCTGTGTGGACAGCTCAGAGCCTGGAGCCTGCTTCAGATTCTGTGTCTCCTCCTTTCTCTGCCCCTTCCATACTCATGCTCTGTCTCTCTGTCTGTTAATAACAAATAAATGTTAAAAAAATTTTTTAAACAAAAAAAAGAAAAAATGTTATTAGAAAATCACAAGGAAGAGAAAATACATTCACAGTTATGTACAGTATTTATTTAAAAAAAATCAGTATATAAGCAGGCCTGCACAGTTCAAACCCATGTTGTTCAGGAGTCTCCTGTAATTGGTAACAGATTTAGAAGGCACCTATTACAAATTATAGTGTAACACGGTAGCAATATTCTTATAAAAAGGTAGAAAGTTTTCATATGTATATTCATGGATATACATATATAATTACATACAAAATATATTTATAGAATAGATAAAATTAATAAAAATATAGTAGAATGCTTACAATATACATTGAGGGTAGAATAGTAAAACACAGCACAGACAAGAACACAGGTTTAGGAACAACGTAGTACTCTAAAGTAATAATGTAGCATTCTTACTTAAATTATAAACAGTATTGCACTACAGAGGATAATACCATTTGTCATGTTATAAGAGACTGTAGTAAAATATTATAATTATAGACAGAAGAGCACAGTTTTTTTTTTAATTTTTAAAAATTGTTTAATGTTTATTTTTGAGAGAGGGAGAGAGACAGAGTGTGAGCAGGGGAGGAGCAGAGAGAGAGGGAGACACAGAATCCAAAGTAAGCTCCAGGCTGTGAGCTGTCAGCAGGGAGCCCGACGTGGGGCTCAAACCCATGAGCTGTGAGATCATGACCTGAGCCGAAGTCGGGCACCCAACCGACTGAGCCACCCAGGCGCCCCAGAAGAGCACAATTTTAGTGATTATCAATATTGGAGGTTGGAATAATCTGACAGACACTTGAGGGGTGTTTGTAGCATTTGCAGTCTGGGAGCTTTGTGAAGACGCTCCCAATTGGTGCACGTGTGCTGGGGAGAGACAAGGGCACGTTTCCAGTAAATGACAGTCACGTGTGTCCAGCTGCAGCAACCGTAATTCCTGCTGGGCGCTTCGCAGCCATCATTCCCCCTAAGCCAGTGATTACGAACTCTGGACAACTTTGTCCCCAGGGGATGTTTGGCAATGTCTGGAGACATTGTGTGCTCGTCAAAATTTAAGGCAAGGGAAGGTGCTGCTGGCATCGAGTGGGTAGAGCCAAGGATGCCGTTAAATGTGCTGCAAAGACCAAAAGAGCCTCCACAACGAAGAATTGCTCAGGTATCTCAGTAGGGCTCAAGCGGAGAAACCCTGCTCTAATCTTTTAGCAGTCACGGGGTTTTGTCTTTACAAATTAATAGACTCCTTCTGGATCCCTGTGTGGCATCAGAATTGTGGATGTTGGCCCCACCAATGTCAGGAATCCCTTACATAGTGTGAGATGCTACACTGTAGACTCAATTCAGTAGCAAGCCTGCTATGTCACCTCTCACAAAGCTCAGATGCAGGATCCTCCTTGCCATCCAGACCCCAGCGGTCTTCCAGTGAACACCCGGCAACACCTACTCACCCTCCATTCACCTTTCGTTTACGGCCTGACACTCACGAGAGCTGACACGGTCCTGTTTACTGTCAGATTCCCCTCCCACACCCTGTGAGGGAGGCCTGTCCTGTCCACGGCAGTATTTCCGATGCTTGGAATTACTCCTCAACTTCAGTGACGCCCAGGAAGTAGCTGCACCGTGCATAAATAAACCACTCACATCTGTCAAAGCCTCCTATTTACAAGGTACCATGTGGAGAGCTTGTCATCATCATTTTGTTGTGCACCTGCTGTTGTTCCCGTTTCCTGATGAGGAAACTGAGGCTCAACAAGCAAGTTACTTAAAGGTGCGAGAGCCAGTACGAGGCAGAGCCTTACTCCATGCCCTTTGCCCTTAACCATGGCCATACCACGCACCATATACATAGGTACCAATCCTGTGTACCATAGGTCTCCACAGCGGCAGACCCCAGCCCCCTCAGATAGGTCAAGATGGCAATGCTTTCTACTTTGGGAGATTATAATTTAGCAGCATTTGGACACATAAAGGCAATTTGCACCGGTGGAGCGAAATTTTTGTTAACTATGATTACAAAGAGCATATGGTAACAAGACACCACGGCTGCCTTTTTTTTCTGCATTCAAAACACAGTAGTCTGTACTCACGTACACATTCGGGTAATGCAGAATGGCTTAACCGTGGGTCAGCAAGCTTTCCCTGCAGAGGGCCAGAGTAAATACCTCAGGCTTTGCGGGCCATATCGTCCCTGTGGCAACTCTTCAACTCTGCCACTGTAGCACCTCAGAGCCCGTGTTTCAACAGAACTTTCTTTAAGGACACTGAAATTTGAATTTCCTCTATTTCCACATGCCACAAAATATACTTCTTCTTTTGAGTTTTTCCCAAACATTTGGGAAACGTAAACGCCGCTGTTAGCCTGCAAACTGTGCAATACAGGTGGAAGGCTGGATCTGACATGCGGGCCATGGTTTGTCAGCCCCCTGACTTACGGTATCGCCGCTGACAGTTTCTGAAGCTATCGCAATGCGGCGAGTTTGAAATACACCTGCGGCCTGCAGGCATGTGTGTGGAGAAGCGTCAGGGCTATCCATGTAGCTCCATCGGAGCTACTGTGGGGCACATGCGACTGCATGATGTTTACTTTAACGTCATGCAGGCTGGCACTATTTCAAGCCCTGTGAGTAGCTTAGTATAAT